GGTGTGGTGGTGTGGTGGTGTGTTGGGTGTGGTGTGTGGTGTGTGGTGTGGTGGTGAGTTGTGTGGTGCCTGTAGTGTGGTGGTGTGGTTTGGCTGCTAATGTGTGGTGTGGTAGTGTGTGGATGTGCTATTATGGTTGGTTGGGTGTGTGGAGGGTTTTAGGGAGGAGTGGTGTGTTTGAATGTGTTGTTGTGGTGTGTGTGATGGTGTGTAGTGGTGTGGTGTGGTGTGGTGGTGTGTGATGGTGTGGTGTGGTTGTCTGTGGTGTGTGGTGTGGTGTGATGTGTGTGGGTGGTGTTGTGGTTCGGCTACTAATATATGGTGTGGTGGTGTCATGTGTAGATGTGCTACTGTGGTTGGTTGAGTGTGTGGAGGGTTTAGGGAGATGTGATGTTGTGTTGTGTGTGGTGGTGTTGTGTGTGGTGATGTTGTGTGTGGATGTACTGTTGTGGTGTGTGTGATGGTGTGTGGTGGTATGGCGGTGTGGTGTTGTGGTGGTGTGGTGGTGTGTGGATGTGCTACTGTGGTTGGGTGTGTGGAGGGTTTAGGGATGTGTGGTGGTGTGTGTGGTGGTGTTGTATGTGGATGTCTTGTTGTGGTGTGGTGGGATGTGTGGAACTATGGTGGTGTGTGTGGTGTGGTGGGATGTGTGGAACTATGGTGGTGTGTGTGGGATGTGTGGAGGTGTGGAGGTGTGGTGGTGTTGTATGTGTGATGAGGTGGTGTGGTGGTGTGGTGGTGTGGTGGTGTGGTGGTTTGTGTGGAGGTGTGGTGTTGTATGTGGTGGTGTGGTGTGTGTATGTGGTGGTGTGGTGGTATGGTGGAGTGTGTGGAGACGTGGAGGTGTGGTGGTGTAGTTTGTGCATGTGCATATATTATTGCATTGTTATTTATGTTAATTTATTTTTTCATCATAGAAATACAATGGTTAAGACCAAAGAGGCTAGTTCACCCGCATTATGGGATAAAGAAACAAAAATAATATTTTATGACATTTGCCTTAAGGAAATCGATCTAAGAAATAGGCATACAACCTATTTGAACAATGAAGGATAGCAAAATATTATCAGAAAATTCAAGAAAAGTACAAGCAGAGAGTACGATAAGATGCAATTAAAAAACAAGACAATTAGCTCAAGAATGATTGGAAATTTTGGAAGGAATTGAAACGAGGATCAACAAGCTTGGGGTGGGATCCGATGAAGCGAGCCATTAATGTTTCCGAGGAGTGGTAGGCAGAAAGATTTTTGGTGGCACCCCCCAAAAATCAATAATGTTAGATCCAATGTTTGGGGTATCGTTGCTACAGGCAACAATGCATGTGCCCCCAGTGAGACAGGGTTTGGTGGCACACCCCGGAACTTGGGAGCCGACCAATTGGGTGATTCCACCGAAGTCCCCAGCCTTGACCTTCATGAACTTGAGTTCACATCACATTCTAAGCATCCGTGGATTGAGAATAAAAAGAAAGTGGAAGTTATTTTTCTTAGAAGCCATATATCACAGTTGGTGGCTTCATGCAGCACTGAAACCCACACATCTTAAGCAACTTCTATCGACCAGATTCTGTAAATCCTGAATGCAACTAGACAAATTCTTGAGGAGTTGTCATTGTACTTGTTTATGATAAAGTTGCTTGAAAATCCGACCAATAGAGATTTTTTCGCCAAGTTGTCCGATGACTGTAGGATGGTATACCTACGATATTTTTATGGTCGCAAGAACATTTAAGAGACTTTTTATTTACAATAGCTTTGAACATTTATATTTGCTTATTGTGTTTCATTTTGCTTTAGATATTTCAACGGCTTGGTACATGGCTTCTTCAATAATGTTTATATATTTATTGTGTTGTTCGTAACCTTATATGATTGTAGGTAGTTAATTCATTGAAATTCATTGATGTTTTTGTGTTAGTCAGTACAACATTGATCTACATTAATGCAACCAGAGAAAGGCACACAAGGAGAGTTGCAGGTATTGTATGTTTGATGTATGAATATTACAACTCGTACATAGAGCGCTCCCCGTGCATGACATTCTCATATGTTAGGGATAAATAGGATAAGAAGTTGCTTGCGAGCCACCCAACGAGATTTAGTAATATGTTTCACATGACACAGGCGATATTCAACAATCTGTTGAAAGAACTACACAAAAATCATTAACTTCTGGCACTTCCAGGGTAACTTCGCGAGAGGTGTTGGCGATAATCTTTTATATATTATTGCAGAATGAATCAATGCAATGAACAATAGAGTGATTTCAACACTCCTCTAAAACAATTTACAGAATATTTCTCAGTGGGGTTGAATGCACTTATGCATTTTTTCTTCACAAGTCATAAAAACAACTGATCCTACATTCGAATGAACCCCACAGGAACTTCACACGATGCAGAATACATGTCGTTCTTTAACATAATATCTCAAATTTAATAAATTCAATTTTTAAAAAGAAAATGTTATTACGAACTCATTGTTATCTTACCAGAATTGTATTGGATCAATTGATGGAACACAAGTTGATGTACGTGTTTCAAATAATGAAAAGATCGCGTTCATCGGATGTTGCAGGTCCCCAACACAGATTGTCATGGTCGTATGCGACTTCAACATGTGATTCACCTTTGTCATTGTCGGTTGAGGGCAGTGCACATGATATTAAAATTTTCAAAGCTACAACACAGAATAACAAGTACAACTTTCCACATCCTACCACAGGTACGCTTGAGAATTATCTACTCTCGTTATTCACTTTTCTCTCAATACTAATCATGCAATACATAAATACTATTTAGTTGATGTTGAATATCTATTGCAACGAGGATATCTCAAGCTCTCTCCTAATATGAGATATCATATACCTGACTTTGAACGAGTCAGTAATGTAATACGAGGTAGAAAAGAAATGTTCAATAAAAAGACATTCATTCTTACGTGGTGTCATTGGGAGGACTTTTGGTGTTTGGAAGAAAAAAAGGGTTATACTTCGCGATATGTCATCTTGCTCATTTCTCAAACAAGTGTACATTGTGATTGTCACGATGGCTGTCCACAATTGCATTCAATGACATCACTCCAGCACGAAATTGACTTTCCAAGGACAGACGAGAATCATGAGCACGTGTCTGTCGAGGCAGTTAAGTACCGTCTTGGACATTCTTTATCACAGGCTGAGAATGATGATTATATCACCTATACTAAAGACGGGGAAGGTGTAAATAAGATGGTAGAGTTGAGTGAACAAATTACGAATGCGATAGTAGGAGAATGATTAAATTATTCATTATATTATAATTTGTACTTTATTCAATACTATTTATATTTTATTCAGTTTCTGTTTATTTCCTTCTTTATTTGATATTTATTGTTTGGCCTTTTTACACTTTTTATAAGTTTTTTTTCCATTTCATTTTATTTATTTTCTTTTGCTGGGTTTGAGAGGTTCATGATGAGACGTTAAACCTTATGGCTTCTTCTGGATGGTCTATTAGTTGTTGTTGGTTGGTGTCACATATGAATTCATAATGAAGGCAACTAAATTCCTCTATTCTTTTCAGTGTTATGGTTTTTGAGGTTCTTTTGAATGACCTTTTTTGGCGATATACATATGTGACACAGAGGAGCTTGATATTACGTGAGTTAAATGCAACCAATAATTCTTTTCTATAAGGTCGGTTGTCTTCTTATAGCAACAGATTTGTTAGTTTGTATAATGAGTTATCTGAGACCTCACGCATGCACAAAATTGTAATTAGTTACTTTGTTTATCAATTTTTAACTTGTGTTATGACTAATAGATTGTCTTTAAATCATTCAGGAAAGATGAGCTCTAGGATTTCTGAGACCCCCCAAGGATTGTTGTCATTGTGGACTTCAGACTTACCAGCTGACGTCACGTCAGCCACATAACTACGGAAGATAGTTTTACAGGTGCCCGCGAAGAATCACGGAGAAGTGTGACTTCTTTCGGTGGGCAGACAGTCTGCCAGATTTCACCGCTGAGAGTGATCGGGAATGTATAATATCCCTAGAAGACAGCGTAGCTCGTGACATACGTTGTCTGTTTCTAAAAAATAATATTATCATATTATTAAATATTATTTTAATATTTTTTTCTTTATTTTAGTAATCATGATACTCACTGTTAAGTGAGATATATCACTGTTAAGTGAGATATATATAGTGAGATATATATATATATTTTTTTTACTATTCTAAAATGGAGTTTTGTTTCTCAAGTATCAAATATATTATTATGACAGTTCTGTTACAAACAGTATTACTACACATGGGCAAAAAAGACATTTGTCCAGAAACAGCTGTCACTCAATTGTTTTCAAACTACAAGAAACAAATAGCATGTTAGCTTATTTGCAACAATTTCTGCGCAAAACCTTCCTGTGGCAGCTGCTGCGCAGCAGCTACCCCAAACAAACCCTTAAAGACTACTCAATGGTTCGTCAAAACTACCAAGTGCAAGATGTCCTTGGCTTAGGGGGTATCAGAAGTTAATGGATTGTTTAAATGTGCAAGCATGGTATGAACTATAATAAAAATGACAGAAAAATCAGGCTTTATTCTAGTTATGCATCTGCCAAGTGCAATTTATGACAAACACTATGCAATACTTATTGTAAGCCACTCATAAATTTCCCAAGAAGCACAAAAAAGGATGCTTGATCATCAAAGAAAGCCATTAAATAAAAGAGGCATTTACATGCATATCACTCAATTTTTATGTATTTACATATCTAGCACATAAACTTTACTTTTTATGTTTATAACACTTTAAAAATACCCTTATTTTAACTTTTAAAAAATGAAATAAACAATTTTATGAATAGATATGGTGGCATATATATGTAAAAATTGAAGTTTAGGTATTGGATACGTAAATATATATGAATTGAGAGATATGTATGTAAATCTTCCAAAATAAAATAAACTTGTACTAGACTAAAAATTTCTCGCTCAATCAAAGAAAAAGATACATACTTAATAAGCCATTGGAATTCATCCTTGTTATCTGAACAACCATAATCAGATGTCCAAGCGTGACCTAAAGAATGGCAGCAAATTAACAACTAAGGTTAAAAAATACAAATAGAAAAGCACAGCAGTAAAAAAAATAAGAAACCAACCTATTGTGAATTTGTGGAACCGAAGCATGTCCATGACACCAACATGAGCAATGGCACAGCCAAAAAGATCAGGCCGCTGCAGAACAAAAATATTCAAAGTAAATTAAAATAAATATAAATAATTTGGTAAGAGACAGACAAGGAAACTCATTAACCAGAATTTCAGAAATACAAAGAAAACAATAATATTGGGGATGAACCTGATTTATACATGCAGCAATTAGAAGTCCGCCATTGCTGCCACCTTCAATACATAGTCTTTTGCAAGTGGTATAACCAGTTGAGATAAGGAATTCAGATACGGCAATGAAGTCATCAAAGCAATTTTGTTTCTTTGAAAGAGATCCTGATTTATGCCATTCTTCACCATACTCACCCCCACCACGAATATTTGCTACACACAACACAAAACCTAAATTTCTAGCTAGAACAATCCGCCCCACACTAAAGGATGGTGTCAAGCTAATGTTGAAGCCACCATAACCATATAGTAATGTCGGATGTGACCCATCAAGAGTGATATTTTTTCTTGAAACAATGAACATTGGAATCTTGGTCCCATCTTTACTAGAAACAAAAACCTGATACATAAAAGGGGAGGTAAATTATCCTCAATATTTCCTCTATAGGAAGACCTGACATCCAAAAAATGGTGTGGATCTTTATTCCAGCAAATGGAAATAGAGAAAAGTATCAAAATGGTCATATGACTCTTTGTAGGAGTTCATTTTGGCCGAGAGTATATATAGGTGCAAATTTAGTCCCCAAAGTGTTTTAATGGGGGCTAAAAATGAGTTTAGGGACTAATTTGACACTTACATAACCTCCGAGACTAAAATGATCCCATGTAAATGGTCAAGGGACTATTTTGATCTTTATCCAATAGAAATACATGGCAAAAGAGTGTAATTATGGATAAAATGCAACGTACAATTTACCTGCTCAGCCTGAAAATCTGCTCGATTAAAGCCAGAAACAGAAACCTCCCGAAATACTTTCATTTCAGGAGCTTTTGCAGACAAGTTGCACTTATAAATAACTCCTGGTGTAAGAAAGCTAGTGAAACCAATGAAAACCTCAGCATCTTTGCGCTTGCCTGAGATCCCAGTAACAGTTCCTATATCTATAGGTAAATTATGTAGCATTTGACCAGTTTTTAGGTCTCTTATTTGCAATTTATACTTAACATCACTAAGATAGCATACCAGAAGTTGATCTCCATTAACAGCATAAGCTGACTCTAGCACATCGCTTTGGTCTTCTGGTAATACATCAGTCCATATTTCAGGTTTACTAAGATCAACACGGACTAACTTGTACCTTGGAGATTCTTTATTGGTTAAAAATGTAAATTCAGTATCATCATTTGCAACAACATCATAGCGAGCTTCAAAACTGTCAACCAACTTGACAAATGGAAGCATATCTTTGCTTCCATTGAGTACATCAAGGCCATCAGAAGTTGCAGATAAATCACAGTAGTATAACTTATTTACAGGATCGCAGTCTTCGGTGATAGCTAACGTAACATACTGTAAGGCCAATCAGTATCATCAGCTCAAACAAACAGAAGAATTCCATAATCAAGAAAACTGAAACTGGTAATTTATGTGCAACGAACAAGAATTTTACACGCACCATACCATAATTGGTAACAAAATAACCTAATGAATGTTTTCATGGTAGCTGTAAAGCACAGAAAATAATAGCAAGCTGCTTGAACAATTCTTTTTTCTGCCCATACTAAAAGGATACATTTGATGCAATCAAAGAACATGCACGGTATTCATTTAGAATGGTAATTACCAGCTTCAAAGTTAAATTCCAAAAATATAAGAGGAATCATCATAAGAAAATAACAATAATTTGCTTTATTTACTGTTTCATTCCTCCTTACGAGAAGAATGGCATGCATAAGAATTTATTGCATGGCTGAATTTCTAAGAGGCCGCTTCGAATCAATTTTGATTTATGGTTTTTATTTTATTTTTTTTTAATTTTTACTTGAAATAAAATATGTTTCGTATGTTATAATATGTTTAGTTGATTTTAAAACACTTTTTTTTAGTGTTTTTAAAAATAAGCTAATTTTTTTTAATACAAAAATTAAAAAATATGGGGAAAATGCATCAAACAAACATGTTTTTAAAACAAAAGCAAAAACAAAAACAAAAAACAACAAAAAAAGTGATCCCAAACAAACCTTAGAAAATTTGGGAGTTCCCATTTAAAAATAGTTATTGCATGGTTGACTAAGGCATGTTCATAGATAGATGCATCTTCACATCGAATTCTAGAAGGATCGGTGCCTCATTGAGGAATGACCATGTCGTGTGCAGCAGTGTGAGGTGGTCTTGTTAAAGGGGAGATTTTTATTTTCAAACACACACGCACAAACGCACGCACACTGCATATGGTGAACTCAGGGCCACTTTGTTGAAAGACAACTCTCAACCACTAGGCCGAGTTGGCTTACATTCGTTCAAAGGGAGAAGAGTATGTTGGTTCAATTGATAAGTGAAGGCACTATCAATTAATAGGGTGATCTACTATGCTTGATTGAACCTCTTGGTGATTTCATACTTGTTATCCACCTCTTAAAGATAAGTAATTTGCTAGTAATCTTTAAATGATTTAGATAAGTGAAAGATGTAATTCCATTATATAGTATAGTAGAGTTTGACTGGGTGTAGCCCAATCGTTTTTTTCAATTAGGTCATCAAGAAAAAATCTTATGTTATCTTCAGTTATATAATTATGCTTTTCTCTTATTATTTATGAATAGAAGGCATTTTGCATTTGTTTCGCCTATATCCGAATAAGTGGTATCATAAAGGTTGGTTGTTTCAATGTATAAACGAAGGAGGCAAACAATACAAGAGTGTTTAGCCTTAATACGACTAAATGGAGCATCTCAAAGCACAAAATCAAAGACTTTAGGCTTGTTTGGGATCAATTTTATTTTTGTTTTTTCTTTATTTTTAAAAACATGCTTATTTAGTGTATTTTTTTGTGTTTTTATTTTTTATTCTAAAAACAACATAACATGTTTTTTAAAGCACTCAGAATAACTTTTAGATATTTTGAGTATTTTGAAAAACAAATTCTTTAATCAAATAGCCAAAATATTTTGTTTCAAATCAAAACATAAATAAATAAATTAAAACAAAAAACAAAAACAAAAGTGACCCCAAATGGCCCATTAGATGCAGGAGTATTTGGAGTTCAAGTTTCCTAATACAACTAAAATTCTACAAAACATACTATCACCATAGATCAAAATATGAAATTAGGACTCAAATAATTAAAAAATGAATAAATTTGAAAAAAATCAAAGATCAATTTGAACTATGCAAAATTAATGAGCAACTAAAATTTTTCCATCACACTTGGAATTCTAGTTGTCTCAAATTTGAACAAAATCTAAAACTTTAACAAGCAATAATAACAAATTCAAAATAAATAAGATAAAAAAAAGAATTTAACGAAATAAATATCAAAATAGGAATCCCACCAATACAAAGAAATAATTTCCATTGGAATTAGGTAGTCACATTTGTAGCAATACTCGAAGGAATCACGCATCCAACATGCACACAGAACTAAAATAAGATTTAAAATATATATATATGAATCAAAGTTCACTACTATATGCTTCAAGTTCACTAATACTAATCATTAAAACCTAATATCAGAATCGCTTCATTCATAAAAAATGGACGAGATATAACCATAACAATTATAGTACGATCTCGTAAAGTACAAAAGAACTACTCATGGATTTTGATATTGAAATATGAATGAAGTTAAACACATGATTGAAGTTGCATGTCTCAACACAATAGAGACGAATATAATTGAAGCATGAATAAGACCTACAGGAGAAAGTGTAACAAAGGCACGTGAATAACACCTGATAGCATAAGAGGAGTCACAACAAATAACGCACACAAACAGCCATCGGAATGAATGTCGCACACTTTTACGGGAGCAGGACAAAAAATAACCACAAGCAAAATGGGTGAGAGATGAGATATGCAACTACGATACAGTACTACATAAGTCATCACAATGTTTTTTTAAGCCAATGCACTATATATATTTGAAATCCAACATTAGCAGTGATAAAATATCATCATAAAAATGACTAAGAAAAAGTTGTATAAATTTATCTAGTAAAGGATTGGATGTGGACTACTAATAATAAGATGGAAAGAGATAAAAATCTAACGACTTCGCAACAAGTTTATGAAATAAAGTAAATCTAGGCAAATTGAAATATAATTAATGCAATAATTTCATAAATTTCTAATTTATAAGTATTATCACTACAAGATCTAAAATGGTATTGTCCTTCGCACAATAAATTTTTTAAAGGCCTTTAAAAGAAACATTTATGATTTTAAGCGACCATTATATTTTTATCGGGTATAAACTCTACATACATTATGTTCAAATTAAAAAAAAATTATAATTGTCATAATATCAATTTCTATAAATATCCCATACAAGTCAAGTAAATCATGGAAATGATATAAGATGAGTAATAAAATGCTAAGAAGATAATATTGGTCGGAAAGAATAATAACAATGACCATAACTAATTTCTAAAAAATAAAATGAAATTAAAATCAAACAAGCCATACAAATATGATGTACCTATATGAACAAACATCTGCCTTCAAGGAAAAAATACTCAAATAATTTAAATATAAGTTGTGATGAATTATGCATTTTTAGAATCAATCAAATTGGCAAATGTAAACTTTGTTTCTTTTAGGGTTTTTTATTCACAAATTTTCTAAGATATTAATGCAACTTAATATTCCCTCTAAGACCCCTTTTATAAATTTTAGAATAAGAAAATCAAAAATCAAAGATAAAATAGATCCCAATTTCTTCATCATTATAAAAAAATGCCAGTAGATAATCCATCAAAAATGCATTTTCAAATTACACAATCATTCCATCAACTATAGCAGACATAATTATTTTTGTTTCACATCCAAGCGTAGGCTCGATTTCTGGTATGAGTTGACGTTCAAATATAATCGCATACTCAATTCGGGTTTAAATGTCTAATTCTTACTCTTGATCAAGGATAGATTCAATTTTATGAACGGCGCCATTTGATTGACCAAGTGGTTCAAATCAAAATGACATGATTAAAATGCAATTCTGGCTAAAACCACTAAGTTTTTGAATGGCACAAATCTCGTGCGTAATGAATTATAAAATGCAATTAACAGTGCATAAAACCCTTTGTTCTACAAGATCTCCATAAATGATGCACACATGCCTACTAATATAGATCTTTTGATTTAATTAAGTTCACCACCAATCTTTCAATTATGTTCATCACCACAGCCCTTCCCCCACTCATATGCTCTAAGCTAATCATAGTAAACTTCTTCAATTTTAAAACAAAATATTGATATTATACTCTAAGCACTTAACATCTAAGATCAGCCTAATCAACAATTTTCTCTCATCATCAGGAAGAGAAATTAATCATAATAGTTTGCACCTAACAGAAACATGAAACCACATCATAAAGTGATCACAAGATAAAGGCAAAATCTTTAGAGTAACATTTTATCTAAATTCAATCTATCTTTTAAAAGTTTTACTCGGAGCTAACTCTCTTAAAAGAGCAAAGCATGAACTTTCATAGCCCACAAATTAAGATTACATGTGATTGCGGGTGTGCATTATTCGATCAAAACCGAAAAATTGAACCAAGCCGAACAAGTTGATTATATTTGGTTCCAAAACTGCTCGATAGTATACATATAACATCTGTAAATTTTTTATGTTTATTCATAACCCAACTTCAACTAGCAACTAAATTTTGGTTTGTTCATAGCATAACTGTTTAAACAGAATTAAATTTCAGTTCAACCAGTTCAATTTTATAAAATATTGATTGGTTCGATTTTTTGGATTTGGATTTCCATTGCAATCGATTTGAATCAAAATTGATTCATCCAAACCAATAGAATGCTCACCCCGGTATGTGACAACTAAATACTAAATATTAGAATTGTACTTGATTAGGTAAATCATCAAGTAGCCTACTTTAAAGAAGAAGTGAATGACATTAGTCAAAGATATTTTACATATGGAGAAGAGTAATATGTTATTATTCATCCACTTAGAGACTTCAAACATCACTTAATATATAGGGAATTCAAATTGCATATAGACACACATCAGCCCCTTACGCTCATCAATACATTGAAAAAATTTAGCTACAAACATGCAAAATTGGAATTTCTACGTGACTACACTTATATCATCAAACACAATTCAGAAGTTAAGAATCGATTTGTAGATGCACTATCCATGATTATATAAACCATCACTTTTTCATATCTTTAGTTTCCATTCTTTCATATATTTAATACCCTATTTGCCAAAATTTTCATTTGATTTATCATAAGCATAAGAACAATACACTATCTTTAATAAATCCTTTCATGGCTTCGGAAAGATATTTATTTAAAGGCAAACCACCCAGTCATATGGCCTCCCTCTGGGATTATTTAACATTAGAGCTACATTATGAAGGGATTGCAAAGAATGTAGGTACATACACGACAATTAAGACGTTAAAGGATATATTTTATTACCCTTCCCTTAAAAATAATGTCTATAGGATTGTCACCTCATGCTATACATGCAAATAGGCAAAAATAATAAAATAAAAGTCAGGAAAGCACCCTACATTGTTTGTGCCTTCAAACCTTGGGAGAAGCTATCCATGAACTTTGCTTTAGGTCTAGCAAGAACACCTAAATGAAACACAACATTTTTTTTTATATATAATTGACAAACTCTCCAAAATTACACTTTCTATCTTGCAACAAAATCAATGATGTATCACATATTACAAGAATTTTTTTAGGGAAATTGCTAGGCTACAAAGGTTGCCCAAGACCATCCTTTTTGATAAGGATGTCACACTTATTTAATAATTCTAAAATCTTATGACAATTAATTGGAAATACATTTAAATTCTCTCCAATCTTTCACTCACAAATAGACGAGCAAACAAAGGCAACAAATAGGTATTTAGGAGAGCAATTAAGATATTTACTCAATAATAGCCAAAATAACTAAGATCTATATTTAGCTCCATCTAAATGTACCATCATAGCACAATTTTTCTAATAAAAATAAAGATATCGTTGAAATAGTCTTTTACAACCCCAAAAAAAAAGCCCTCTGACATAGCTAATGTTGCATCTCATCCATTTTCAAGTTTTGTCATTACATTTGTTAAAGACTATACAAGCCTTCAAAGATGGGGAAAAAAAATAACAAAGCAACATTATGCAGGCTATAAACAAAACTACAAATGCAAAACATAGAGGGAGAGTAAATACGTAATGATAAATATTAGACTTGAAATAAATACCACCAAATATAAAAATCTCCAAGCAAAATCTTGAGAAACATTCAAAATCTTTATAAAAATTGGACCAAATACATATTTTTTCTAGAGTTGCCAAATATCTTTCAACTTTATAAATTGAATATTTAATGTAGATAAAATTGTATAATTCTAAGGAGATACTTCACATTAAATTTTGGCGACTAACTCTTTTACATGTGATCAAAAAACCAAATGCAAATGAAAATCCAACATACTTTCAAATAAAGCACCACAAGATGAGATATGAGAACACAAATAGTTGACTAGATGAAAAGAAAAACTACCATATGAGGATACATCGCTTATATAGAAAGAATTTCTCTATCTTTTTATTAATGAGTACACACATATTTCAAGTCTTGGGGGAGAGTTCTTTGGGGCCAAAAGTTAATGCAATGTAGCATAGGCCTATTATTAGATCTATAGAAAAAGCATAGGCCCTTCCTTTTAAATAGTTGTATTTGTATGCATTGTAATAAAAAAATAGATTGCGTGGAGCTTGGGTATATATGTTAGGAATTGTACAAGTGTTTGAGATTCACATACCATGTATCAAGCATTCACAATCATAATACATAAATAAAAAGTCAAATTAGGAAGACAAAATAAAAAAGTCAACCTAGATGGAAGTGGTCAGCCATGACATTGAAATCCTGCATGCAAATACACAATAAAGCATGAAAATTTAATTTAATCGGCCCAACTCAAGAAGCAACCAAAGAAGAGTCAAAAAGTCTACTTTACCATCAAAGCACCACCAAATTCTATTCTCCTTCAAATAAGAGTTTGGCTCAATCTTGTCAATCAACTATCCTAACCACCTTGAAACATGCAACCAACTCCCTCCTAATTGAGGAAATTTGAAATTTAAAGGTCAAAGATTCAAAGTCTCTAAAAAAACATGCAAATATGGTGTATTTGCTACAAGAGACTTGTAATGTTGGTTTGAAGGAAATTTGAGAGTTGTTGGTTAAACAATTTCCTTCTCTTTGGATTGGTGGCCAAGAGCTCATTACTTTTGGGAGGAATTTATTTTGCAAGATTTTTCTCATGCAAATCTTGAACAGAATTAACCCTAGGGCTCACCTACATCCCCTATAAATCACATGGTCAAAGCCTACTTACTCCTTTGAAAACAGAAAAAGCAAAATATTCCAAATTTTCCAAAAATAACCTATGCTAGGCTAACAGGACATGGTCTCAGTTTTGCCCTCATTTGTCCAATCCAAATCCCTTAGAACTCCATATCCAATCTACAAATATTCCTAAACAATCCCCAAGTGATTCCAAGTCCATCAGTTCCTCCTATTGCAAACCCTAATTGTCCAAAGTCACCCTACAAGCTGTCCAAAAAGGTGGGGTACCCTTGGGTTGGCCAACGCTAGCCTCTCCGATACCCATATACTCCTCTCTAAATGCATCCCAAAGTTCCAACGTGATAGTAGAACATTCCTACAGCAAGCACATTCCCTTGGAATAATTTAATTCCAATATTCCCTCACAAATTCCTTAAGGAAGCCCAAGCATGATGTGTGTACACATGGGAAAAATTTGGAGCTTTCCTCTAAGTCAAGAGTAAGAGTTTTGGGTTCATCCCACCTAATGAGAAAAGTTCATAAGTATGAATTTATTGCATGGCATGAACTCCTAAACATCGACATGTATTGAGGGAAATAGTATAAGAAATGATAGCAACTACAACGTTTATGAGCAAAGTAATTCCTTATAAAAAGCTTAATTAAATTTTCTGAAAAATGAAGTTTTTAAAACAATACAATAACCTTACTGATCGAAATCAACAAATCATAATTGCTGATGTAAATGGAGGAAATATACCAAGGAGTGAAACAAAATAAGGGGATTGATACTGATCTCATATAACGAGAAAGAGAATATCAGCCTCCTACATTACCTTTCCATCTTCGGTGACAACTGCATCAAAAACATACTTGGGGTTCTCAGGATCCCTCCAGCACAATATATCCTCGGACTGATCAGTTCCCAAAAAATGGTAGCAGAGCTGATGGTTAAGATTGATGTCAGTCTCTGTCCCTGCATCTAAATCGCCCCCTTCTCTGTTGACAAACATCAACAAATGCACGTTAAGTGCGTTTCAAAACCTAAATTGAGAAATAAAAATTCACGAAATTCTACTGACTTCGGCGCCGGATATCTTCCATAAAAAAACCCCTTCCCATCATGAGTCCAACTAATGCTCGAGAACTTAACCTGCAATCATCAGAATGAAATAACATTTTCAACCCAATCAAAGCAAAGATCCAAACATAAGCTTAAGTAGTAATAGAACGAAATGCCAATTCTCTTCTACCCATGATATCGTATCAGGCTCGGGCTTCTTGTCATCGATCCGCATTACTTTTATGGTTACCCAGTCGCTCCCACTCAAGCTAAGCCCATATGCCAGGTATTTCCCGTCCCTGCTAATCGCAGCAGTGCTAAGTGCCACCGTCCCGTCCTCGCTCAGTGAATTCGGATCGAGTACAACTTCCGCTTCCGATTCCAAATCGCTCTGCGAAGAAAATCCAAATCTCAGAAACCCTCTGAGTTGCTCGAGACGGAACACGGTCATCCAGCATTACCTGGACATACAGAACGCTCTGCGCCTGAAGGCCGGAGTTGTGGAAATAGAAATACTTCCCTCCCCGCTTGAAGGGCGTTTCGTACCGTGGATGGTCAAACAACTTGGTAATCTCGTCGCGCAGCCGCTCTCTCTCCCCGCACTCCACCAGAACCGAGTCCGTAAGCGCCACCTGAGCCTCCACGAACGCTTTCGTCTCCTCCGAATCCGGATTCTCCAGCCTAAGCTCACCAGCAACAGAGAAAACATAATCAAAACCTTCATATTTACAAGTAATAAAAAAGAGATCATTTGATGGCAGCCACCAGCGATAGGGGTCGGAAATGAGGGTGCCATGGTAGTCGTCGACGACGGATTCGTCGCGGCGTGCCGGCGGGTAGCGTAGCGGCAGCAGAGGGTCCGAGAGGGAGCCCATGGCCGCGGCGGACGAAATGCTCGAGAATGAGGAGGAAGTGGGACGACGTAAGAAGGACGAAATTGAGAAACAGGGTCTTCGCACGTGCGGAAGGCGAGAGAGGGAGTGGCGGGATTTAAGGAAGAGGAAGGAGTGTAGAATGTTGTGTGCGTGACGGGCGGATGAGAACATGGCGCGCGAGGCTCGGGTGAGCGGCCGGGCAGGGCGGGTTCCAGATAGTGCGAAAAAAGGAAAATTTTGGATTCTGAAGCAGAAACATCTCAATAAGTGAGAAATTAGCTCTTTAAAATCATTTAAATTTTGACAATTTTAAACAATATGTGAATTGGCCTGATATCTGTATAAAGATTTTTTTTATTTATTTGTAAAAGAATTCATATATTTACAAACTTTTTATTAGAATGCGAAATGAAATTTTAAATTGTATTAATGATAAGATTTTTTGGCTTTATTTTTAATTTATTTGTACTCATTGATTTTAATCTCATTAAAAAAAAAATAGACAACTCGATTCAATTCTCAACTTATAATGAATCCAAATAGTTCGGCTCAAGTCAGAGCAAACTTGATCAAATTTCAAGCTAACAATAAATTAAATGCAATCAAATTAAAATTCTTCAAGCAAATCTTAACTCAGCTCACAATAGAACCGTTCGAAGCACTAATGATAGATTTGTCTTAAAATAAATAAAATTTAAAGTCTAAAATTAATTTTTTTATTTGTAGCAAAAAATAAAATAAAATTTTAAATTTCTTAATAAAATAAACATAAAACATATTGTTATTGAAAATGTGTTCTAATTAAGAGGATAGAGCGAGATGAGAATGGCGTAAAGATGTTGTCATTTTGTTGTAAGCTCTGTTGACATTCAATTGTCACTGGTGTAGCATAAGAGGGTTGGTCACCTCATTTTTTGTTGGTTGAAGTGGAATTAAAAAATAACTTTTACATAGAGATTCAAGCATATTGCTCTATCCATGGATTTTGCAATTTGTCAAGTAGACTAGGCTTTTATTAGTTTTTTAATTCGTTGTAGAAAGATTGAGAAGGATGTGTGTATAGTACTAAATCTACTAGTTGATTAGTAAGTTAATATTAGTTATTAGAGATTTAATAGAGTTTAATGGGTTCTCATGGGTCTTATAATGTTGTAGACATTCACCTCGACTATTAAGAAGAATTAGGGCATGCGAAATAAGTTAAGCTTTTGTTGCTCCTTTTTTTTTTAACTGACTAATTTTTTCACCCCCTATAAATTTGTGAATTCATAACAAATGTATTTATGTCTAAATATTTATGATTTTTATTGTTATTTTTTTTATTTTTTTATTATTTATTTGTCATATCAACTCAAATATGTGTTTATGTTTGCATGAATATATTATTGTTCTTTAGAAATAAATTTCAACCACTTGTGATTTTCATTTCCCTCTTTTATTTTTATAAGAGTATTTGTCTTTCTCACGTCATTCTACTCTGCTTATGATTGTAATTCAAATTTTACCAAATTTCATCACAAATTTGAAGGTAAGTCTCTTTTTTTATGTTATAGAAATTTTAATTTTGAATTTCAACAACAAGTTTTCTCCAAATTCCGCTAGTGAAATAAGGATTTCTATACTTAATAAAAACAATTTATATATTTATGTTCTATATGATATTTTTAGCTTAGATATGCATGATTATTTATATAATTTTAATGTTTCTATGATAAAATATTGAATAACTTGGTCCAATTCTGTATTTTCATAGAAATGTTCATCATTCGGATTCAGATAAAGCCGATTCATATGTTAACTCAGCCAAATCAATAAATTGACTCGTCTACTTGACAAACAGTCTACAATGCAATTCAACTCACGTTTCAATTATAACAACCCATCAGTTTGATAACCCATATACGATACTAGTTTGTTAAGAAACTCGAGTAAAATTATTCATTAGGTTGACAATTCATTAACTCGTAAACTCGTACGTACAGGTTTTAGGACATGCTTTTAATATTCATATATTAGATTACACAATAAAAATAAATAAACTAATTATAAGCTCTTTGTACTTATATTCTCTAAGGAATAAAATCCAAGAGCTTCTCTTTGTGATACCCTCTTTTCTCTCTCTTTTTTTTTTCTTTTTCTCTTGATTACCCTTGTCTGCATGGCATGAATCCATAAACAACTTCGGATCTAAAATTTTTTTAGATATATAATTTCTTTGTTAGATCATCATTTTATTTCTTAGATCTATAATATTTAGGTGAACACATTATTCAATTCTGATTTGCCTCTGAATCACAGCCGAGGAAAAGAGCGTAAGAAATGAGAGAGAAAGAGAGACAGAGAAATGAGTGAACAGTAGTTACAAGGAAGAAGGTACAATATATATCATCGAAATGAGTGAACACATTTTTCTCTTGATTACCCTTATTTATATCATCGTATTCGTTAAATGATCTTCCTATTTATAAGGAAGAAGGTACAATATATTGGTATTACATTTCTGCCTCTACTTTAATGAGGGTTATATAGGATATTCTAGTTATTTAGATATATGACATTATCGTGCGGCTACTCGCTAGCTCGACTGGCTAGGCATGTATGGCTTCAACTTAGCAAGGCAGATCCACTAAGCTTGGTTGAGCTAGTTTTACAAGTATGTTAGGCTTTGTTAGTTTCAGATTGGTAGGATTGATTCGCTCAGCTAGGCTTTGTCGATTGATTGATCTTATTATAGTTATTGAGCACCAATCTCTGGATGAGGATCTCCTATTGGCGGGGTGAGACTGGGCTATTAGGTAGAGGATAAATCATCCTAACCTAATAGGTATCTCTTTCCTAGACAAGGAGAGCATATGAGATGAGTATAAGACCCTATTATATTGTCAATTCTTGATCCCTAATGAGGAGTCTTGGGGGGCATCCATGGGATGGCTAGTGACAATCAAGAACTAAATTCTTTTCTCGGATTAGTTATACTGGAAGGTATGTTGATGCCTACAGTTGGTTTTCTTGCACTGGTAAGCTTGGATTCTTTTTTTCTCTTGCTTTAGTCCTTTTGGCTTAAATTTAGATAGTTCGATCATTCTGCATGTTCTTCTCCTGACTCAATCAACCTTCAAATTTGGCTCGGATAGCTATGTTTAATCAGATATGTGGGCCTCTTAGTCTTTTTTGGGTGGGCCCTTCTTTATCGTACTATCTCCCTTCTGAATCATTTGGATCTCCTCAGGATCCACGCTGATATATTTTTTTATGCACATATTTTAGTTTTTTTATTCTCTTATTTCTTGAAAGTGATATTATGATAAAAATAAGAGAATTAAATGCAAATATAGATATCATTTATTTCTTAATTAATGCTTCAATAATTGAACCACTTGAATGTCTATGTCAGCAGTTCTTATAAATTGGCCATGATGGGACTCATTTCACATGTTTGTATTTGTTATGCATCTCTTTCTCTGAATTAGTCAGCTTCAAAGAGCTTTCATCGAGAACTTCTCGAATCCTCCATTTGAGCTCCTAACTAGGGAAATCCTTCTTGCCGCCTTTGGGAAACTGAAGGGGCAGCAACAGCTGGAAGGTTAGAAGAAGAAGAAGAAATTCATTGCGAAGAAGCAGAAAATATATGAGTTGGTGGATCAAGTGGGGTCATATGACTAATTTCTCGGCCTTCGTGTGGAGAAGATGATGGGGAGATCGAAACCCTTCTTTTGGAGCAGTCGGAATTCTAGGAGGATTCCCTCATTAATAGGCTCAAGTCAATATAGATCAGATTACCCAGTTTAAATTCGGGGGACAAAGTTTGTATAGGAGGTTGCTTTGGAAGAGATTTATCCTAGTCGAGATGGCTGATGATCATCTTGTAAAATATATCCTCTTGGATAAATTTTTTAGTGTAATCTAAAATGTCTAGTTTAGGAATAGTTTTTTTTTCTTGAATCATGCTAGTCTTTTTTTGGTGGGCCTTTCTTTATCGTACTATCTCCCTTTCGGATCATTTGGATCTCCTCGGGATTCACACTGACATATTTTTAATTATCTTTTTTCTTCAAATTGATGCTACGCTAAGAATAAGAGAATTAAATGCAAATATTGATGTCATTTATTTCTTAACTAATGCTTCTAAAATTGATCTACTTGAATATCTATGTTAGCAGTTCTTATAAATAGGGCATGATGGGACTCATTTCACATTTTTGTATTTGTTCTCCATGACTTTCTCTAAATCAGTCAGCTTCCAAGTGTTTTCATGGAGAAAGTCTCGTATCCTCCAGTTGAGCTCCTAACTAGGGAAATCCTTCTTGCCGCAAGATGAGGGGGAGATGGAAACCTTTTGGAGCGGTTGAAAATTTAGGAGGATTCCCTCATCAATAGGCTCAAGTAGATGTATATCAGATTACTCAGTTTAAATTTGGGGGACAAAGTTTGTATAGAAGGTTGCTTTGGAAGAGATTTATCCTAGTCGAGATGGCTGATTATCATCTTGTAAAACATTTCCTCTTAGATAAATTTTTGAGAGTAATCTAAAATGTCTTGTTTAGGAATAGTTTTTTTTTCTTTCTTGAATCATGCGTTGCTCTAATATTTATGTCAGCACGTACAGTTCTAATTTTACTCATGTGTAACAGTTCTACTTCTCATGTTACCTTATATAAGGGTTATGAGTTAGATTTAAGCTACGCTTTTACTATTATTTTCTCTTCACATGTCCTTTCTCTATCATCTCTTTATTCTTCTACTCTTTGTGCTCTATTCACATGGCTTCAAAATTTTGTCCACAAATCTTTGGGTTGGTCATTACGATCGACAAGTCGATGATGACATAGGGGGAGGTAGTATGGCTACAAAATACATGTGTTCTTTACTCTTCCATAAAGCTCTATGCCACTGGGAGGGAGTGATCTAGCAACGTCTCCATTTGGAGATGACATATTTTTTACCAAGATAGGTTCAGATTTGGTATAAGGCTACTTTTCTGTCAAGAGTTGGGAGCTATCTTTAACCATTACAGTGTTATCACCACTCGGATTCTTCCCAACTCCGTCGTCATTATGACATACAACATCTTTTACCATCGTATGGGAGTTTCATGGTTGATGAAGCTTTTTTACTTACATTTTCTCATTCTAGGTTGGTTAGAGGGCTACACACAATTTGCTTCACTCGACAAGTTATAATTGCTAGGCTTGGAGAACAAAATAAAAAACTGGAAGCTGTGCTTCTAACTCAA